GGAAAATTATTCACAGACTTTAGGGTAATCACATATTTACATGGGTGATGGGGCAGGAAATATACAACAAGAGTGAGACTCTCAGAGGAAAGATGAAGGTAGTGGGCGACATGGAGAGGAATGCAAGCGTTAAAATGAATAGAGTTAAATATTGTTAACTGATGGTACATGGAGGGGATTACAATCACTGTAATGAAGCAAAATATATGTTTTGTTGAATTGAAACTGATGATCTGCTCTGTTAACGTTCACTCAATTTACAATAAAAAAGTTTTTTAAAATGAAGAATCATTGATAATTACTGGTGATTGGAATGTGAAAGTCAGAACCAAAAACGAATTGATAGTTTAGAAATATGGCCTTGGTGAGGTGAACATTGAAGATCAGATGATCAAATTTTACAATACCAATGACTAATTCTTTGGAAATATATTGTTGTTATTAAGTGCCATTGAGTCAGTCTGGAAATATATTTCAGCTCAATAAAGTTTTTGCTTATTCTTATTATTTTCATTATCTTTTTACAGTTTTCAAGTTGAGTAAAATCAAAGCTTTATTAAGTTGATAGATGATTTTCACTAATAAGACACATTCATTTGAATTGTTACTGTTAATTGCCACTGAATGGGTTCTGACCTTATAGCAACCCTGTATAGGCTTTCCAAGGAGCAGCTGGTGGGTTTAACTGCCCACTTTGTAGTTCAAGTCCACCATGTGGTCTAGTGCTTATCCTAGAGAGTACCTTTATTCAAGGTTCAAGGATGAAAACAATACATAAATTTTTTAAATTTCCTTTAGACTCATGGCATTGTGTGACAATCTGGTCAGCTGGCATAATATAGTTCTTCAAGTCTGTGTTTTACTGCCCAGTATGGTGAGTCCTGGTGTAGCGCTGTAGAATAATCACTGGACTGCTAACCACAGTGGCTGTTCAAACCCACCAGGCACTCCTTGGAAACCCTATATAATGTCACTTTGAGTCAGAACTGACTCGATGGCAATTAACAACAACATAGTCTTGGTTAGGATCTTAAAACAGTACAAGTAGCCATGGAGATATAACTGTTAGTCTCTATTCATCTAGAACAAAAGAGAAAGAAAGAAAACTAAGAATCAAAAGAAATGGGACTGTAGGAATAATTGTCTCCATGAACTATAGCCTCGTATACCTTGAAACCAGAAGAACTAGATGATGTTTAGCTGCCACTATCAAACATACTGATCAGACACACAATAGATGGATCCTGACAGAAAGGAAGAAAATGTTGAATTGAACTTCAACTTCTTAATCAAGACTAGCTGGATTTATTGAGACTAGAGGAGTCCCTGAGAATATGGCCCTTTCAACCTGAATCAAAACTAGTCTCCAAAGTAACCTTTAAACCAAGTAACAGTTTGATTCAACAAAAATAACAAGTAAATATTCCTTACTCAAAAGCTAAGTGTCCTTGAATATTGTGCTCTTTTAAATAATTGGAAGCTTCTCTGAAGTACAGAAGTGAAGAATCCATTTGAATTCTGATTTACTGGGACATAAATGCAAATTCTCAACAAAGGGTACAAGAAGAAGAAACAGATTTGAAGCCCTGATTCCATGGCATCTACTAGGGGTGGGGAGGTGTGTTCCCCTGAAACCTGGGGATATTGGATTTAACTTCCTGGGCAGAGTTGGGGTGGTCAAGATGCAGCAGTGATACAGTGAAAAGGGCACCAAATTTGGAGTCAAAATGCCTGTGGATAATAACACTGGGCCCTGTTTGGATACTGATTGGCCACGGTATCCATTCAGTTTAATTTCAACATTGCTCTTTTTACAGCTTCTGCCACCTTCGAAGACTTTCAGATCCGTCCCCATACTCTATTTGTTCATTCGTACCGAGCTCCAGCCTTCTGTGATCACTGTGGAGAAATGCTGTGGGGGCTAGTACGTCAAGGCCTGAAATGTGAAGGTAAATTTCTTTTTTCCTCACCAAGTTGAATACATGCATAAGTTATTGCCTTATTTTGTACCCTCTACAACAGTGCCATCTTTCCCCCAAAAGTATGTACCAGGCATTTGTTCTGGTCATTTCTTTAAATTTCCTGTCTCTAGCAGGAAAATTTATAATGAATGAATATTGTAGTTTGATCTGGAAACCCCAATCCTCATATTTTTTTCATATTTTTCTCTCATATGTTGTTGGGGATATTGTAACACACTGAAAATATAATATGCATCTTAATTGTACCAGAATATGGAATGGTAGGCATTCAGTAACTATTTGTTGAAATAAACTGCAATTCAGGAGGTTAATCAAGCCATCCAAAGTCACACAGTTCTTGAGTGTCAGACTGGAATTTCTACCTGCATTTGTACACCTATGTTATATTTTATCAACCCCACTGCACAATTCAAATTGCTAGAATGCCATTATATAATCTTTAAGAGCTCTAACCAAGTGATCAGTGCTTCCTTTGGTTTAAAGGAAGAACTATTTGAGTCAAGCAATATGACCAAGCGATAACCTTATGACTTATAAATAGGCTAACCACAATTTTTGAATTTCTGTCATCATGAGGAGAAAAATCAGGAGCAAGAAATGTTAGGAAAATGTTCTTGACCTGTTGTGTGACAGACACATAGAGAAATTCATGCTACATGACAGAACTATGAATAATAGAAATACTAAAAGAAAAATGGTATCTTCCTAGTTTAAACATATGCTTCTAATTATTGAGGACCTATTATGCCAAAGTCCTGGTGTTGAGGTGAAGAATAAGCATTGGACTGCTAACCGCAAAGTAGTCAGCGGTTCAAACTTACCAGCTATTCCTTGGAAACCCTTTATGGGGCTATGAATTGGAACTGACTTGAAGGCACCTAACAACATTATGCCAAAGAGAAACCCAAATACAGCACAGTGGTTAAGCACTCATCTGTTAACCAAAAGATCAAACCCACCAACCACTATGCAGAAGAAACATGTAACAGTATGCATATATTAAGATTTGCAATGTTGGAAACCCTATGAGGCAGTCCTATTCTGTCTAATAGGGTCACTGTGAGTTGAAATCAACTTGATAATAATGGGTTTTTATGTCAAAACCAGCAGATGAGGTATTTTACATATTTTCTTATTAACTCTACAGAGTAGTTATTATCATTTTTTAAATGATAATGAGGAAATTGAGTTGAAAAAGTCATTTGTCCAAAGTCTTAAATGCAGCAAATTACTGAGCCAGAATTCAAATCATTGGTGCCCAGAGGTTGTGATACAAAATGATTAATTTTCTCTGTAGATGTCCAGTCACATTAGAACTTGTGACAACTAAAAATAACTTTGATAACCTATTTCTAATTTTGTTGCGACCTCCCTCAAAGTCCAAGTCTCCCGTATCACAGAACACTAGAAAATAATGATAATTAGGGTTGTTGCTGAACTCATTCATTAAAATCAGAATCCCAAATCAGCTCATACATAGATTGGGAAGAAAATAAGGAAGAGCTCAAAAGAAAATTTTGATTTCCGCATTGTTGCTAAGTGCCGTCAAGTCGGTTCTGACCCATAGCGACCCTGTACAGGGTTTCCGAGGGTGTAAATCTTTACGGGAGCAGAAAGCTTCATCTTTCTCCCGCAGAGTGGCTGGTAGTTTCGAACTGCTGACCTTAAGGTTTGCAGCCCGATTCGTAACCACTGTGCTACCAGAGCTCCTTAATTTCCACATAGCTTTAAGAAAACAAAGGAGCCTTGGTAGCCCTGTGGGTTAGACATTGGACTGTTAAACATATGGTTGACTGTTCAAACCCACTAGCTACTCTTGGGAGAAATACAAGGGTATCTGCACCTGTAAAGATTTGCAATCTCAGAAACCCTAAGGAGCAGTTCTACTCTGTCCTTCATAAGAGTTGGAGTCAGCAGTAGGTTTGGTTTATTTGGGTTCAAGAAAACTACAAGTAATCATGTTTTTGAAAATTCATAATTTACCACTATGACTGAAATAGCCTTTAGCTTATGGTTGTACCAAAGTCATTTTTGTTTTCTCTTCACAGGATGTGGTCTGAATTACCACAAGAGATGTGCATTTAAAATCCCCAACAATTGTAGCGGAGTGAGGCGGAGACGCCTCTCAAATGTTTCCCTCACTGGACTAGGCCCTGTCCGCACGGCGTCTGCTGAGCTCTCCACCAGTGCCCCTGATGAGCCCCTTCTGGTATGGTCTCCTGCTTATCGATTTTCCCATTTACATGAGAAATCTGTGGGAAGATGTGATAGCGGTGTCAATCAAAAACAGTGTGCTAGAAGGGAGGACACGGTCAGAATATTCATAACTGCATTTCTTCAGGTCTTGTGCTATAGATTGGTCAGTGCTTCATTAAGTATCTAACAGCTTTGAAGTTTGCTTTTATCTCCCAATGGAATTATAAAATATGTGAGGAATCATCATGGTCAGAGGGCCAGAACAGTACACAATAATGTGTTAATGTTGCAAAACATAGCTTGGGAAAATTTGAGCATCAGAGATAAAATATGTCCCTATTTGAAGATTATTAGAGTAATTATTGGTATTAACAGATTCTTTATTCCAGGGAAAATGTGAAATTTGCTCATATGACAATATGAAAGTCTTTTATTGCTTGGTGCCACTTATATCTTTGCAGGTATGATGGCAGAATGACAAGTATTTGTCAAATTCTGTGAGACAAATAGCAGTTAAAATTTTTAAATGTTTCCATTATTTCTAAAACACGTATCTTATAGATACGGTTTAAGAATTCTTTAAGAAATTTAAATAATTTTTTCTGAGCATTCAATAAATAGATTGAAGTAATAATGTGAATTTTTTTAAATAAAGACATTATTCTAAAATAATCTGATGGTTTGAGGTTGATATTAGAAATTTTCCACATTCTCTCCACACACAAACACTCTGCCAATGGATCCTCCAAGGACTCTTGATAGTCTAGTATTGGAAAGAACAATTAAAAAGAAATAATAAAAGATTATTAAAACACTTCAGTTAAATAAATACCTTTTGAAGTGGAGAAGGACAATGGATTTTGAAGATCTTGCTACAAATTTGTATTAATTAATTTCTTGTTGTTTAGAAAATATTTTATTGTGATTCTTAGGTCACCTAAATTTTGACAAAGTATAAGCCATACATACATATAACCCAAATGACTTAATTTTATTAAGTAGGAAAATGCTATAGTCAGGTTTTCCAATGATTTCTTCCAGGGCATTTCTTGTATTTTCAGTCCTTCATTCAGTAAACCTGTAGGGGAGAGGTGGGTAATATAGCCACTATTAAGCAGAGGAATATATTATGTTTTTGTTACTATTTAGGGTGCAAGTATGTGATTCTATGTGTTTATAGTAGTACATACAGTTGTATTCATTGGAATTAGTGATATTCTTGCTTATAGATGCAAAGATAAGAATAATGGCTTTAAAAATAACTTCTCATGTTCCCAACACTTTGATCCTTAACTGAGTTTGAATTTTTGCAAGTACTGATTTTACAAGTTTGTTTCTTACTCTGGTATCATAAATATAGTCATTAAGATCCATACTGTTTAAAATACAAACATTTAAGAAACAAAATGATAAATTAGTTGTATCTTGTTTTCATTTTTTATCAGAAAAAGGATTTTTCTTTGTATAATACCACAGAAGAAATCTAAAATTCTTAACTAAGGTGACATGTCATTACAATAGATACATAATTAGGTAATTAGCCCCCAAAATTACATGACTAATTGCTACTGTCACAACTGTAAAGGTAGAAGTTTTGTAATTAAAGAAGGGAGTAGTTAATCTTACAGGCCAGGAATAGAGAGCTCTAGTACCATCAAGGGAGATGAGTACAAGCGGAATGTGGGACCCTATCCAGAGGAACAGTGACACCAGAGATGGAGGCAGAGATGAGGACATGGAGAAACAAAGCAGCTGAGGACTCTAGAGTCATGGAAAGAGAAAGGCTGTGTGCTGGCATTCAGGTGCTGATGGCCAGGAGGCAGGCTTACAGAATGTGTCCTTTGGTTGTTTAAATGATTATACATGTTCTTGAGTGTTTTTGTGTACATCCTCCCCCCACCAAAAAAAAAATAATAATAAAATAATAAACACATAGGGAATAGAAGCAAATACTGTTAAATGATAATGCACAGAGGAGATTGTAAGCATTGCAATGAAATGATGAGTGTAAAACTGAGGTTTCTCCAAGTAAACTATCATTCAGTTCACAATAAAAGCTTTAAAAAAAGTTACAATTTATTTAAAAAGAAAAAGATAATCAATAAAAATGAAAATATAATCAAAGTCATTAACTATCAGGAATTTAAAGGTATCTGCGCATTTGGGGAGGGGGATAATCAAGTATTAGTGAAGGTATAGAGCATCTAGAACTTGCATGCATTTATCAAGACTGTACAGTGGTTGTACATTTAGAGAACTCTCTGGCAGTTATCTTCTAAAGCTAAACAAATGCATATTATGTGACTTAGAAATTGCACCCCAAGTCATATATCCAACAGAAATATATACACACATACGCTGAAAGTTACAAGCAGATTTTTAACACCCTTTGTCATAATAACTAAACCTGGAAGCTGAAATCATCAGGTAATATCATTAATATCACATACAAGTAAAGTGTTACTAAAAATAATTACAAAATATCTACAACCATACATTAACAGAGAACTTCCAAAGCTTCAAGCTGGATCCAGAAGAGGATGTGAAATGAGGGATATCATTGCTGACATCAGATGGATCTTGGCTGATAGCAGAGAATACCAGAAAGGTGTTTACCTGTGCTTTATTTACTACACAAAGGCTTCCAATTGTGTTGCTCATGATAAACTATGGACAACATTGCAGAGGATTAGTATTCTGGAACGCTTTATTGTGCTCATTAGGAACCTGGGCATAGACCAAGAGGCAGTTGTTCCAATAGAACAAGGGAGCACTGAATGTTTTAAAATTAGGAAAGATATGTGCCTGGGTTATATTCTTTCACCATACTTATTCAATCCATATACTGAGCAAATCAAATGAGAAGCAGGATTATATGAAGAAAAATAAGGCTTCAGGATAGGAGGAAGACTCATTAACAATCTGCAATATGCAGGGGATGCACCTTCCTTGCTGATAGCGAAGAGGACTTAAAATACTTACTAATGAAGATCAAAGACCAAAGCCTTATGTGTTGTATTTCATTGTTAAGGAAACAAAAATCCTCACCACTGGACAAAAAAATAGCATCCATATAAATGGACAAAATGGAGTCATGGTGTGGTGCTGTGGGTTAATGCACTAGATTTTAAAGTCAGTTTAATCCGCAAGGTAGGTGATTCAAGCTCACCAACCACTCCTCAGAAACCTTATACAAGGTGACTATGGGTTGGAACCAACTTGACGGTATTTGACAACAATAAAAACAAAGGGAGAAAGGATTGAAATTGTCAAACACTTCTTTATGCTTAGATCAACCATCAACACTCATGGATGCAGCAAATCAAATGACATATTGCATTGGGCAAACCTGCTGCACAAGGCCTCTTTAAAGTGTTCAAGAACAAACATATCAGTTTGAGGACTAAGGTACACCTCACCCAAGCCATGGTATTTTAAATAACTCATATGCATGTGAAAGTTGGACATTGAATATAGAGGAACTGAGAAGAATTGATGTATTTGAGTTATGGTGTTGTTGTTAGGTACCATGGAGTCAGTACTGACTCATAGGGACGCTATGTACAACAGAATGAAACACTGCCCGGTCCTGGGCTAACCTCACAATTGTTGCCAAGCTTGAGCCCACTAATGCTGCCACTTTGCCAATCCATCTCACTGGGTGTCTTCCTCTTTTTCTCTGACCCTCTACCTTACCAAACATGATATCCTTCTCCAGCGAGTGGTCCCTCCTGACAACATGTCCAAAGTATGAGAGGTGAAGTTTGGCCATGCTGGCCTCCAAGAAGCACTCTGGCTGCACTACATCCAAAACAGATTTATTGGTTCTTTTGGCAGCCTGTGGAAATTTCAGTATTCTCCTCCAGCACTGTAACTCAAAAGCATCAATTCTTCTACAGTCTTCCTTATTCAGTGTCCAGTTTTCACATGCATATGAGGTTATTGAAAATACTATGGCTTGGGTCAGGCACACCTTAGTCCTCAAGCTGACATCTTGGCTTTTCAACACTTTAAAAAGGTCTTGTGCAGCAGATTTGCCTAATGCAAT